AGGACAATATTTGGCCGAGATACAACTATTTGAATATCTGGAATCTGAGGGTGCAAAAAAAATCTAAGTATTGAGAAAATCACCTTTAAATTTGTCCAAATGAAGTTCTTAGCAATGCATATTACTAATCAAAAATTAAGTTTTGATATATTTATGGTAGGAAATTTACAAAATATCTTCATGGAACATGATCTTTACTTAATATCCTAATGATTTTTGGCATAAAAGAAAAATCAATCATTTTGACCCATACAGTGTATTTTTGGCTATTGCTACAAATATCCCCCAGCGACTTAACACTGCTTTCGTGCTCCAGGGTCACATTTAAGATTTTTCTTTTTACAAAATGTAAAGATTAGTTTGAATATTTTGATTGCACATGTGAAAAACAATGCACATATGCATATCTTGCTTTGTAAAAATGTTTGGTTTTTTTGGTTTTTTAAAGTCATGCATCCTGTTTGGTTTTTCTTTCTCTTGCAGGCATTTGGCACGGCCCACAAGGCCCACAACAACAACTCCAGTCGATTCGGGAAGTTCATCCAGGTCAATTACCTGCCGAGTGGAGTGGTGCGCGGGTGAGTGTGGTGCGAGGAAGCGCTTCGATCAGCTGCTGTCTTCCTCCGCGCTTTACACCGAATGAAGGAACGAGAGAGCTGACACACTTCCTCTCTTATCACAGATCCTTTTCTGTGGTTTATTGTTCGCTCTGGGCAGATTTCACATTTCATCTGAACCGCCAACAGTCTTGTTTTCTTCTTTATCTGTTTGTAGTCGCCCTCTTTGGCTTCTTTCCATTCACTCGAGCGGTTTAATGTTTACGTGAGGTTTCAGCGAAATGTTTCCCAGGCCAGTTTGGCAACTTGAAAAAGAAAACTGAAAACGAAAAGGTTGCGCAGTAAAAAAAAAAAAAAAAAAAAATTTATTTAAACATCTCCAGATAATGAAGTAATACATCTTGAATGATTGAATAATAACTCAATAAAGAAATAAATTGGATGTTTATAAGTAAATAGGTCATTTTTATAACTAAATACGTATGATAAATAAATAACTTAATTATTAAATGTATTTATTATTAATCTTTACACTTATTTATTAAATGTATTTATTATTAATCTTTACACTTATTTATTAAATGTATTTATAGTATTATAAGTGTAAAGATTAATAATAAATACATTTAATAAATAAGTGTAAAGATTAATAATAAATACATTTAATATATAAATACAGTTAAATAAATGAAAGAAATGTAATTTTGGGGTGGAAAAATGGAATTCAAAGAGTATTTCATAAATAAATTAGTACCATGATGTGTAAAAACATTTAATAACTCAAGAAATGTAATATCTAAATAAATTTAATACATATATAGAATAAATAAATGAGTAATTTTAATAATGTAAATAATAAATAAATCTAGAGATTAATAGATATACTTAATATATAAAGAAATACAATATTTATATATATATATATATATATATATAAATGTAATTAATTAAATTAAATAAA